TGGCCTTTCGCAATGTGGGGCATCGATATGATCGGTGAGATCCGACCGACGGCATCCAATGGGCATCGCTTCATCTTGGTGGCGATCGATTACTTCACGAAGTGGGTTGAGGCAGCTTCCTACGCCACAGTAACCAAGAGCGTCGTGGCACGTTTCATCCGGCATAATCTGATCTGTCGGTACGGCGTCCCAGAAAGAATCATTACGGACAATGGTACCAATCTCAATAACAAATTGATCGCTGAACTCTGTGAACAATTCAAGATACAGCACCACAATTCTTCTCCCTACCGGCCGAAGATGAATGGGGCTGTAGAGGCAGCCAATAAGAATATCAAGAAAATTGTGCAGAAGATGACAGTGACCTATAAAGATTGGCACGAGATGTTACCGTTCGCTCTGCATGGGTACCGTACCTCAGCAAGGACGTCAACCGGGGCAACTCCCTTCTCCTTGGTCTATGGCATGGAGGCAGTCCTGCCAATTGAAATCCAGATACCCTCTCTCCGGATAATGAAGGATGCAGACCTGAATGAAGATGATTGGATTCAGACTCGACTTGATCAATTAAATCTGATTGACGAAAAGAGGCTCACTGCTATCTGTCATGGTCAAACGTATCAAAAACGGATGATCAGGGCATTTAACAAGAAAGTCAGACCACAAGAGTATCAAGTTGGGGACCTGGTAATCAAACGCATCATCCTTCCTCAAAGTGATCCCCGGGGCAAATGGACCCCTACATATGAAGGGCCATTTGTGGTTAAACGTGTGTTCTCAGGAGGAGCCATGATCCTAACCACCATGGATGGTGACGACCTTCCTCACCCCGCCAATGCAGACATAGTGAAAAAATACTACGCATAAATAAAAGACCCGCTAGGTTGACATACCTAGGCAAAAATAAGGGCTTCCCGGCGAACCAAAAGGGTTCGGGCAAAAATAAGGGATGAAATAAAAAAAATCTGTACACCCGGCAAGTCGAAAACCTGAAAAGGCGGCTTGGGCAAAAATGGGTATCCCGGTGGGCTGAAAACCCGAAAGGGCGGTCCAGGCAAAAGTTAGGGATGAAAGCGTAACACTATGTCTCATTGGATCACTTCGCATCCGGAATTCGGCATCAACTATCTGGCTCCAGATTTCGGTATTGACCAATCAGCTTCATCTTCAAATTAGGCAGCAAAGCGATGAGACGTTCGAGGACATAAAGGCGATAGCAGAGTTGGAACCCAGTAGGATTGTTCACATAGCTATTTTGTTTCTTTTTTGTAAACTCTATGTTATTTGGCGGCGTCCTCTTACTAGGATGTCAGTCTCTTGTACAAAAACGCCTATTCACAGGCAAAGTTTAAATCAATACAAATTCACTTGTCCATACAAATTACCATTGTTTTCCTTTTTTCTGTTTTGTCTTGCGAAGAACGTCCAATGTTCATTCCTGATATATGCATTTGACATTAAATTGCTGATTCGTAACTGTTTACATATGAAACAAGAGATTGATTACAGGTGACATCAAAGACAGGGGCAATGTGAAGTCATCTAATGCAGTCTGGTTGTTTTGACCGCCAAGGTACCAAGGTAGAGTCGATTGAAGAATGTGACCAAATCATCTCAACTCCCCGCAGAGTAAAACAAGATTCAGCAATACTTTCCCCAAGCGGAGTTGACTCCCCGACAATTCTGAAAGGGCACAACATTCCCCGGCAGGTCTCAAAGCTCATCCCCAGTAGATTCTGGAAGCTTGTTCCCTATAGTGCACGGACGTCTCTCCCGAGTTTTATTTAGAGTTATTTCCTCACAAGGACTTATAACTGGGTTATCCTCAGCTAACCACCACGGAAGACCGCCCTCGGCAAAGTTCCTTCAATCCCCAGCGGAATCCATCATTAAAGTCCTCAACAGGCCTCTCAGCAAAACTTCGGCCAAGTATCTCTTCCACAGAGCAACTCCCCGGCCGTTCGTCAAGGATTTATTTTCCTAAGACGAAATTACATTCATAGACATTTCACATTTTCATACATCTTACTTACATATATGATAAAGTGCATACAACACCATCTCATGTTGAACATCACGACATCGTGCATATCATACATCATGACATTGCATACAACTTATGTTTTTGCCTTTTCAGGAAAAAGACAATCCCAAAAAACAACTACCTTCAACTGTCACAATTCCAGATCCGATACCTGTATCTAGCCAGGGCACATCTGAGAGTGATCAGTTTCCAGACTCGATTCCTGTATCTAGCCAGGGCACGTCTGAAGAGTTCGAAGATTCGATTCCTGTATCCAGCCAGGGCACATCTATCAACTACAACATCTCCAGATTCGATTCCTGTATCCAGCCAGGGCATATCTGTTGACCACGTTTCTAGACTCGATTCCTGTATCTAGCCAGGGCACGTCTGAAGAGTTCGAAGATTCGATTCATGTATCCAGCCAGGGCACATCTATTAACGACTATTTCCGGATTCGACTCCTGTATCCATCCAGGGCACATCTGTGAGCAACCAATTGTAGATTCGATACCTGTATCTAGCCAGGGCATATCTGCATAAGGAGACTGAAGATCAAACACCTGTAACAAGCCAGGAAAACATCCGTCTTTCTCAAATACACAAGTTCTCGCTAAGGAATCTCTTATGTGATCGACACTTCCAAATGGCATCTATAAGCCCATTCCCGACAAGGTTCTGTCACATCTCCAGATGGCATCTATAAGCCCATCTCCCTATCCACCATATCTCCAAATGGCATCTATAAGCCCATTTCCGACACCATATTGTTGAGACTCCAGCATGCGAGTGCAAATTTCCGGGCACTCTAGTGTCCAATCCCCTTTTACCTTCAAGTCGCGAAAGGCAAACTTGCCAATCTAACTCTTCAGGTCCAAGAAGATTGAACAGGGGCAACTGTTGTACCCCAAAATTTGCCCTCCCATCTCCTCAACATTTTCTCCTTGCATTGTGGACTCAAATTAGGGTTTGTGTTTGCCCAAGGATGTTTTGACCTAAAATTCCTAAGATTACTTTCATGTTTCATGTAGGACCCCCAAGTTTACCCATACCAAGTTTCAAGTCTTGATTCCAAGTTTTGCCCAGTCAATTGGACAGTTGACCTAGAAATCAGCTGTATTGGGGAAAAAGTCAACTGTGGCCAATTGACAGTCAAACCTCATGAAATTTGACCCACATCAACATATTGAACTCATATGGACCATTTGATCAAGTTTGGATCACAATTCCATAAGAAATTTGATCAGATCACCAAAAGGGCAAAATGGTCATTTTTAGGGTTTTGACTGCACAAAGGCAATTTCTGACTGTTTGACCTAGCCAATGGCAAATCAAGCTCACATATGGACTCAAGGACTCAATGAAATGGTCTTGACACATTCATCAAGCTCAAAAGATCCCAAGTACACAAGATTGACAGTTGAATTTCCCAGTCAATTGATCAATTTTGACTGTACACTGAAAAGTCAAACTTTGACTTTTTGGTCAAAATCAAGAGTCAAGATTCATTTTTCATCAAAACATGCCAAATCATGAAACTTGTTCACCAAGAAATCACAAAATGCAAATTAGGGTTTTAAAATGGAATTTTTCATAACTTAGAATTTTTCTAAGTTATGAAAAACCCTAATTTTTCCCAACTTTGCCCCACCTTTTCACCAAGATCCATTTGGATCCAAACAAAAGTCAAAACATGAAAGTTGTAGCTTGTTACATAATCTACAACTTTGATTCAAAAAGTTTTCTCATTTGAAGCTTGTATCTCAAGTTACAATTTTTTGAATAAGGGCACTAAACCATTTTTAACTTAGTGAAATTTTAACCTATTTTGACAAGGTTTTCTACCTCACTTCAAGGCCATTTTTCATACCCTTCCACTTGGAATTTCAATTTGCATTTCAAAGATGGATTGTATCACACATTCCAAGCTTTCCAAAATGTCCAAGAACTTCTCAAACAACCTCATAACTTGAGAGATTCGAATTTCACAAGTTGGCAAAAATTCACTTTTGTTCTTCATCAAAACATGTTCATAACTTTGCAAATTTGAACTCAGCTTGCTTTAGGTTAGATTACAGGTCCTTAAACCAAGTTGCACTCAATAATTTAATGCTTATTCATTGTGCCAAGGCCATGTTCTTTGTGTTCTAGCATTGCATAGTGGATTGATCTCAAAATAGATAAAGTGCTTTATCCATTTTTGTAAAAAGCTAGCTTTATGTCAAATTGAAATCCAAGCAAGTACAGTTAGGATCTCATTGGCACAAGTTTAGGAGCTAATTTCACTAATCAAGACAAGGGTTTGCAGCTTGTTATGGGGGCCTGCATCAGTCAAAAAACACAACTTGCATTTCTTTGCTTCACATAGAAGAAACATAGCATAACTTGTGACAACTCTCATCTCAGCTCACTAACACAAGAACAAAGTTATCCAACACATTCAAAACATCCCAACCAAGCTTTTGCACGAATCCCTGACCTCTAAAACACTCTCCATCTCAGAAACACCATCAAACTGCTCAAACAGGGCAAGGCCTGCAGTTTGAGTGCCAACTCCCATTTCCCTCGAGCATTCTCACCAAAACCAATTCATACACATTCCCTAGCATGTATGCAAGCTAACCATGACCTAAAACCTGACCTGTAATCCCTCTAACAGTTTCCACCATTTTCATTTTTTCCTTTTGCAGTTGAAGTTCCACAGCTCGATACAAGAAGTTTCAAGACAAAGTAAGCATTGAAGCAGCATCCCTGGACCTCAAGGAAGCTTTTCCAATCATCACCTTGCACTAGAAGTTCCTCATTCTCCAGATAGAAGTTCAACTGCACAGGTAAAACTTTGAACTCGTATCTCTCTTATCATGCATCTTTAGTCTTAAGTTTGTGAAGAAACAAGGTTCTACTCATAGCCCTGAACATGCACATATCTTTACATTTCATTTCTTTTGCCTGAGTAGAGAGAATTTGGAGTTTGAAAATGGCAGAAAAACTAGGTTAGGATTTGGGGGAGGAGAAATTCTCCCTCATCTTGGAGAGTTAGGTCAAGTTCTATACATGGTTGGAATCGTCTCTTCATGCTGAGCATTTTTTATGTTATGAGTTTTTGTTAAAAAGCCAGGAATCAGGAGTTAGCAGCTGGAGTACAGGGTGCGCGTTTTTGAATATTGTTGAACGAAGGTTGAAGATGAAGCCACATGGGCTGGGCCTGTGTGGTTTCTTCTTTTTGCACCCTATTTCCATTTTCTCACCCCCTAAGCCCATTTGCCTTATTTTTAATTCTTTTTGACTTTTTCTTTTTTTGTTTGACTTGTTTATTTTTTCTCAGCATATTAAAATTTTGAAAATATTTTTCTCACCATTTTTTGATTTTTATTTGATTTTATTTGATTTTCCTTTAGTTTATACACAAATACATATACATGTTATTATTTAGAATATTTGAAAAATAGTGTAAATGCATTTAAATACATTTTTATTTTTGTTTACCTTCTGAAAATATTTCACATAAAAAATACTTTTTTTATTTATTTTATTAAAATATTAAATATATATTATTTTGTATAATGCATATTTAAGAACTTAATATATATATATATATATATATATATATATATATATATATATATATATATATATATATATATATATATATATATATATATATATATATATATATATATATATGTTTATTAATATATTTAAGTTAAAATATAAAAATACTTAAATTTTTCATTTTTTATTAATATTTGATACAAAAATACTTTTTTCATAATATACTTCATTTTATTTTTATTTTTGTACATAATAAATAAATACTTGTATTAAATTAAATAATAATATATTTTCTTTAAAATTAGGGTTTTTGCCCTAAAAGTTGAAAATACTCAAAATAATACCTTTTTGTTTTCTTATTTTATTTTACATAAACCATACTTTTCTCATACATATAAAAAACTTTCTCTTTGCATTTTGCATATTTTGTTTAATTTCCATTTAATTATGCAATTTATTTACCTTGCAAATATTCAAAAATGATGTAATAGTTTAGATTTACATTACTTGTCAATATCCCCATTTGAACATTTGTACTCCCCTTCCCATATTTGGTTTTGTAATAGCTTAGTAAATTTATTTTCGCACTTTACTGCTTTCTAATAATAACATATTAGAATTAGGGTTTGCATGCGAAAAACGATAAAAAATAGTTGGACCTAATACAAGATGAATGAGCATGAAAATAAACAACACATCTCACACTTGCACCCCCTAGGGTATTCCACTTGTTGCCTTTCAAAATTGGGCCATATTGTATGTTGAACTTCTTTGGGCAAAGCAAACAATTTGAATGATCATAATCCCTCGATAAAACTTTTCAAAACAAATAAAAACAAATGATCAAGTCCCTTAAAGAAAATTGCCCAAAGACATTTAACGTCGTTGCAATTATGGTCTAAACGATGACCCGCGCCTGTCCCTTTCACATCCTAACATAAGGTTGCCCACCAAATACAATGGTGGAGCAAACTTGTTAAAAGGGTTAAAACGTAGCAATAATCTTTTGAGAAATTTAGGAGTAGATAACCTCTTAGTTACTTGAATCAAACTTGCAAAACAAAACACTTGCCTAATTTCAAAACCACACCTCACAACACTTTCAAAACAAACTTTCAAAAACAAATGAAAACCTTTTCAAAAGACATACATCTTTGTATACATCCCCACATGGATCATTACAAAGGTTGCCACCACATTGGCCTCTTTTCAAAATATTTTCAAACCCACACACACACATTCAAGCACCATTTAAAGCAATTGAAAACAAAAGGCAAGTGATTTAAGCAAGTAACTAAGAGCCCATGGATAACCATGGATAGAAAGGGTGCTAATACCTTCCCTTTCTATAATCTACTCCCCGAACCCAAGAAAACATCTCAAAAGGTTTTTGCTGTGCTTTTTAACCTTTCCTTAGGATAAAATAAAAAGTCGGTGGCGACTCTTGCTCAACCGAAACATTTGCGAAAATAAAAACGCAAAACCTCAAGTCAGTTCTCCCACCGTATCACACCAACTCTCTAGGCTATACCTAGAATTTAAGGATTTTCCTTTAGAATTAATACACTTAACTCTTGAATGACCTTGTTCTAAGTTTAATCCTAATTAAATACAGGCAAATGATTACTCCATTAAAGTCCATGACCATTAAATATACTAAAAGTTAAAATAACAGTGAGAAGCCAATAAAAAAAAGAGAGAAAAGAACAAAATATACATGAAACTAGCATTACCTTGCAAACGTGAACGCGGTTTCTTTCAGCTGTCCATAAGCGCTTTTCAAAAGTGCTTTTTCGCGGTTTCAACGCGATAGTCTTTCTCTCACGCGACAACAACAACAGTGAATTGCTCGTGATTCCTTACTTACGGCAATCAACACTGATTCGGTAATAGCAGTGTGCGGATGCGTGTGAGCGAATTCGTGACTTCTCCTCTTCTTCTTTTTCTTTCGATTTCTCTGCTATGAATTGTTGTTGTATTGTTATTTGTTCTTGTGGCAGATTATGGTTCATGAATCGGCATCTAATTGTTAGCACAATTACCGCTTCGTATCTACGTACGCCAGGTATTCGATATAAGTCCTGAACCGTATCTTCGTAAATTACATAAGTACCTCTAAATATATATATGTGTAAAATTTTAGGACCTTAATTATAATTGTAATGTTACCAAACTTGATGAAAAGTTGTAATTTAATTCTTTACTTTGATGGAATTCTTGTGTTTCAAATTTCAGTATTGTTGTTGTTGTATTTTTTGTGTTTTTGCTGCGGGTTCGGGTTTGAGAGGAAAACCCCGAACCCAACGGGTGTGGATGTGGGTGTTATTTTACCACCCGAATAGCCTTTGGATTTGGGTTCTGGTTCGGGTTTGGGTAGTGTGAAACCTGCACCCGACCGACCTATTTCTATCCCTAAAGTGCATGAGCACCATTAGGGGAGCAACAAGTCATCCTTTAATTGAATATTGAATTTCATTAAGCCTTGTTTTGATTAAATTTTCAACTATAAATTTATACCCATTTATTTCTCTTAGCTTTTCAAGACCATGAAAAACATGTCATTGACTCATTCTGAATATTATAAACTTTAGCAAAAATGTGTGTTATAACTAAATAGTACAGTATAAACCAAATTAATTTAAGTTTAGTCCCTTTAAAAAATTCTTTTGAATAATGGTTATGTACTTGTCAAAAAGTACAGGAGTGTGTGGTATTCCTATGCAGGTACGGAATAATCAAAGGCCTTTGTATTTAAGGGTGGTCTCTAAGTTGAAGGCGAGTCCTTTGATAGGAAGCATGTCCTAAGCTTGGATGAGTCTCTCAGCTGAAGACAACTCCTTTGATGGGAGACGTGTCCTCAGTTGTGGTTGAGTCCCTCAATTAAATGCGACTCCTATGATGGGAAGCGAGCCCTTCAGCTAGGGGTGAGTTATCACCTCATTGTCAGATGTTTGCTGAGTAGCCATAATGTTACTTAAGAATGTAAAACATCAATCACTCAAATGGAAACACTTGGTTTTATTTAATGTAAGCAATGATGGTTTATTTTCTAGATGCTAAACATTAGTGGCACATGTTGGAAGCGTGCTGAGCATTTTTAAAAAATTTGAGGAAGCCTAAAAGGCTCATATGAGTTAGTGCTTGTGGACTTAACTTCTTTATAAAAGCTTTCTCATTTTCCTTTTTTCACTTCTTTTGCTCATTTTTTTCTCTCGACTTCTACAAGCTTCTCTTGATTTTCGATCTACCCAATTTTTCTACAAGCTCCCTTTTCCTTGTACTCATCCTTATCAAGTATGGATTGTATCCTTTTATTTTTCTTTTATAGTAGTTGTGGTTAGGTATTGTAGGATAAGAATCATAATAGGGTCCAGGTTAGCGTAAAGCTGTGAAATTCGAGGGCTTTAGTGGTCCCTTAGTTTTTACTTTTGTTTACATTTATTTTCTGTTGATAACCTTTTCTTTACAAACTCATTTATCCCCAAACTCATTAACGAGAGATTTATCGAACAACAATTCAATAACCAATCTCTATGGATACGATAAATTCCCGGATAAATATTTCCAAAACTTTTGTTGCTTGTCGCTACTTCGCTTTCAACAATCGCACAAAATCCTGAAAATAAAACGCGAACTAAATGATTAGCACACTCAATGTGGAAGTATTTTGATTTGATTTTCAATAATCACAATCTTTATTGATTTCTTGCAAGAAATAAACGATCAAATTTTCAGATGTCACACTATAAATATGTATGCTCTCTTACTAACTTTTGCACCTCAAAATCCATCTTTTCTAGCTTCACTTCTTGTGTAAGTTCTTTTTCTACAAGCATCATCATGACCTCCTCAAGTCAAAATTCTAGAGAAAAACCAAGAAGAAATGTGTCAAATCCTGGATTGATAAACTCAAAGCAAAAATAAAGGATAAAAATCCCAGCAAAGATGGTAATTCAATAGTCAACTCCATAACTTCATTCTCCATGGTGGTATCATAGTTACCATAGGATATTTATGATGATGCGACATCTGGTCGGGGTCGGCCAAGGCGATATTCACGTGCTTGTTTTTCTTTAGACACGAATTGTATCAATATTGCTCAGATTTGAGACAGATCTACATTTGAGTTTTCCTACTTTTATTTGTGAGCTTCAACTAGGATGAAAGATCGAAGTTTCCGACCAGCCTAAATATGAATTGAGCCTGACCGCTTGCAACTCTGTAGATCTGTCAACGTCCACTGAAGTCTCCTCGCGAAAGCTCAATTTCGATCAATCGAAGTTAGATCGAAGTTCGTTGGATCCAAACGATGTAGATATGAGATTTTGGCTTCTTGAGACTTTGATTTCCTTGCTTGAAACACTTTCAGAGTTCAGATCTGAGGATCGAACGTGGAATCGTGGAAATGGAAGAATCTTAAGTTGACTCCCACAGACAGCTCCACTGTTTCATTGTAGAACAAATAATAGAGAGGATTATAGAAGCTACGATACAACGAAGCTTTCTGAGCATTACGACAATGTGGCATCATGGATCAAACGTCGCGATCACGGTGCTTCTTGAACCATGGATGTTAATCTTGATACAATGTCGTTAATCAGTGTTTGTTACCTCCAATACAGTGGACCTAAGGGGCACCTAAATGGCTAACACTCTAACACCTAAGTTATTTTAGGGTTCAAAATAGTGGTAAAGTTCAAGATACTTAAAACCTTTTACAATGGTATTTATAAAAGGTTTGAAAAATTAGGCAAATGTTGGAAACGAAACGAAATATTTGAAAAGTCTAAAACTTTGTATCAAATCAATGAGTATCGACCAAAGAATAATCATTGAAGACCTCTAAACAACTTCAACAACCAATAGATGCTTCCAACAAGCAATAATCTAAACTCAGGTTGAAAACTAAAGAGAGCTTTTGACCCTTATTTGATGTAAGCGCGGAACGAGGCCAAGAATATAACTGGAGTGAGGATGACTTGTAACGATAATGGAATTCGACGAAACTAAACTTTGTTTTTGCAACCAGTTTCTTCAATGGTGATCATATTGGTACCACTCGCAAACGAATCCAAAACTCAATCTGATCGGATCCAATGCAAGACCAAAATCACTACAATTTCACCAACGACTATTGTCGATGTCGTCAACCATAAGTCATAACCTAAAGCAAATTCATATCGAAATACAACTATGAGGTCAACACATTTACAAACTTGAGAACGAAATTGGACAGAATCGAAAACAAGATCAAAATTGGAACCCTATAAATTAGGGAAAATGATGCAAACAAAAATTTGCGATAAAACAGAATCACAAACTCAAACTAATAACACAAACCAACAGTGGAAAATGAATTAGATGCAAAATCAAACAGAATCGTGAACTCAAACTAATAACACAAATCAAATATAGATGAATATCTGAAACAAGCAAATGAAAGAACCAAAATGAAAACGGAATCGCAAACAACAAGTAGAAAAGATGAAATCGAATAATGAGAAAATTGAATTTTCTCAAGAAAAATAGACGGAAATAATTTCTTCAAGGTTGATACCAAATATGAGCTGATACCATATTATGAAATATGACATGCACGGAAAGAAGAGAAAAGAAATATTCAAACTTGTATATTGATCATAGTAAAAATATTACAAATGAGAAAAATAACTATATTTTACTACTCTAAATCTATTTATATGTATTAAAAAAAACTAATTACCTTCACTAATTAATAACTATTTTACTATAACTTTAACATTTCCTGAACTCTCCTAGGTAGGGTGGCAAACAAGCATGTTCGTCCTACAAAAGTACGCGAAGAAATGGGACGAGGCAGAACATGCATACTTAAGGATGCAAGCCTAAAGTCTTGTCTCGCCTCACACTAAAAGTAAAGGTAGAATGGACAGACCCGCAAACACTACATATTTTAAAGTTAAAAATATAAAATTTATATTAATGTTTGTGTCTACAACTGTCTGAAAAAAATACAATAGGACGGAACGAGCACATTAGAAACGCCAAACGAGTCAGATCCATTTTGTTTTCGGGGTGTGTTTGGCTTTGTTGGCAAATAAAAGCTTTGGTGTCTTTGTGTAAAAACTTAAAATTTATTTTGTTTTTTTCTTTGTTGGGCTAGCTTATAATAAGTAAAAAAATATCTTCGTTAATCGTAAATACCTAGCCGCAGCCGCAGCCGCAGAAAACAACATCAACAAGTACCATTCTGGTGAGTTTGACTCTTCACTTTCATCATTATTTCTCCGTTTTCATATATTCCGTTGAATTTTTTTTACGTAATTCGATTGTTTTCGTGAAACAGAAAGTGGCTGGGTTCGATGGAGAAAGAGTTGGTGGAATTGTATGAATCCGCCAAGAAAGCAGCGGATGCGTCTACCGATGCAGATAGCCCGCACGAAGAAAGCCGATGCCTTGATGCGCTCGAGCAGCTCAAGAAATTTCCTGTTAATTATCAAATTCTCGTTAATACCCAGGTTTTTTTTCTTGACATTTTGTTATTTTCATTTCTTTTATTTTCAATTGTTTCTTTTTTAAATCTTTTTGTTATATATGATACTGGTGAATGTTGTGTTGAGATGTATTGCATGTTATTAGGGTTAGGGTTCAATTGAAAGGAAGGTTCAGATTAGGCATTTTAAAATTAAGAACTGTGTTTGAGTGCTGATTTTCTTTGATTTAGTCTATATTATGTACATTGAGTAATCAATTTGAATGTTTGGATGAAATGTGGTGTTTACTTTTAGATTTATTGATTCATGAATTAAAAGAAAGGAGGCCTGATTATTACGAATACTTTTTTCTAGGGATTTATATCTTTGGTTTTTATGTTATAATGATGCTTTGGGATAAATTGGGTCCTTGGGTTTCTGTTGGTGTTAATTTAAACTTGTATGTTGCATAGACACGGGTATTGGACTGTTAACGAGTCATGGTATAGGTTTGAGATTTTCCTAAAGATGGATACGGGTATCGTTACTAAGGTTGGGCGTAGGTATGGGATTGTATAAAAGAATAGGGTACCGAGGCAGTGATATAAATATTTGAAATCTTTTATTTCTTTGATGATGTGGATGTCGCATAGTGATTTGCTTTTTCTTTGTCGCCAGGCAGATGTTGTTGTCGTTATCTAATTTGGATTTTATGTTCTATGATGAATGTGATTTGTGGTGATTGAAATTTTGTTGTGTTTGGATTCATCAAAGTTAGGAATGGTTTCATTTGACTTAGTTTATTTGATCCAGAAGTTGGATATCATATTTAAATGTGGTTTGGTGGCTGAAGCTTTTAATTCTCTGATGATGTGGATCTCGCATAGCGATTTGCTTTTTAGAAGCTGTTGTCGTTATCTAATTTGGATTTTATGATTTATGATAAATGTGATTTGTCGTAAATGACATTCAGTTATGTTTGATCTAGAAGTCGGATATCATATTTGGATGAGACATGGTGGCTGAAAGCTCATTATGCAGGAAAAGGTCCCAAGTTTGAATATGGGGGAAGCAAAATTGTATATTTTGCTAGAATCAGCTCATACATTTTATGTATAGGATTTTATCGTCCCATTTTTAACATTCCAAACACGGTTGTCAAGGTTCCAATCTTCCTCGTAAGGTTGCCCAATACTATGGTTTTCTATGGGAGCTTTTGATCCTTATTATACCCCACTTTTGTTTGGTGAGATAGTTGCAGGATCATCGAGCTATAGCTTGTAAGTTGTTGGCATCAGATGGTTTTTGTGGTTCAAACACTGCTGTTTAAGTGGTAAAAAACACATTTTTCCTTGGAAAAAAATCGATGCTTACACTTGAAACCGCAAACCTTGTTTGTGTCTGCTTTCCCATCGTCGTTTTTTTCCTATATGATATACTAAGTTGTGATACTGTTCTGACCTGAGTTGATGTTTATCTTCATTTGAGGAATGTAAGTGAATAGCTTTGTTGATATATTGAAATGTGAGAAAGAATTCTCTTCCATTCCCGCAGTTTCCTTATACAAATGAGCGACTCCTCTGTTTATATAATGCTAACAATTTTAAGCAATGTCCTTAATATCTGATCCCCCTATTTATTTATCTATCCAACTAGGCCCATCTAGTTAACTAGCTACTCCAGCCTCATTCTACTAATTCTTAATAGTCTTCATTAAGTCGTGGGCTTGTTAGTACTTGGGCGTATCATCATTTGACATGTCTCAACTGTGTTGAAACGCCGCTATTTTCTTTCTCAATACATCTTTCCTGGATGCAAAAAGACTATTTATAATTATTTCCCTTGAAAAGTCTTCTATAGTACTGTGACTTCCTTATGTATTTTTAATTGAATTGTGACTTGTGTACGTATTTTTAATTGAATTTTAGTTGAGAGGTGGTGGTGGTGAAGACGACAACGAGGATGATTATAGGTGTATGTGTTATGATCTAATACGACTCAATGTACATGTTCCTCCTCACCGAACACGTGAGGGAGCTCGCTTTTAACAACATTGATTCCAAACTCAAGATTTGATTTTCAAATTATTAAATACAAATCTTTTATATTCATTCCAATCACTCTGTTAATTAAACTCATTCGTTCATCTCTTCTTACTTCCCTCACGCTCCTTTTTGTTTCTAATTGGAACGGTATTTCAGCTTCTACTTGTTGTACTTAACTCCTTTTCTCTTTGATGGATTTCCTTTTTCTGTCCAACATTTAATTGTTCACTAGGATAGGTTTGTATATGTGTAATATGTTGTTTGAATGTATGGATTGTGACTTAAGGACATTATAAGTAGTACAAAATGAAGAAGACAATTAAATAGCGTAAACTTGGTTAATTAGATGCCAAGTTTATTTCAGAATATGTGACATTTTTTAAGCCTAATGGTTCTTGATCTGCAGTGTGACCAAAACTTAATGTTTTAGCCTTAATATTTGCTGATATTTATGAGAACACTATAGATGAATCGGTATACTAAGAATGAAGTTGAACATGAAATTAACACAGTCTCTTAATTCACGATACAAAATAGTCCTTAGAATGTACCAAACAATCTTAAGAAATTGAAGAAAAGAAGAACTTACACAACAACAAAGCAATGGCAATTAGAGGTGGTGGTCGGTGTGAAGAATAGTGGCAGCTGGGGCCCGCGGCGGCGGTGGACGACAAGCCTTTGTTGCTCTCGTTCTGTTGCAGTTTGTGAATCGTTTGTGGTGGTGGAGCGTCGATGGAAATACAAATCAAAAGTCGCAGTTCAGAGGAACTAAGATAGAGAAAGAAGTTGTTGGCATCGAGAATGCAATTTAGGGTTTGATGGCAAACTTGTAATTTTCTTAACTATGGTGAATATTTTAGTATTATAATTAGACTAAAATAGTTTTTTTATTTTAAGTAAATGAGTTTTTGATTTGCTCTTTTATTTATTTTTTGTCAAACTATTTGTACGGGTTTATGCATATTATAGAAAATAAAATGTGTTTAACTTTGTAGGTAAGATAAAAAAATTTTAAAAAAATTGTTATAGATAGATTATAGCATATTTAAATAGTTTGAAAAATATATGTAGGTAAAAAAAACGTTAAAAATGGATATTAAAAATGTTAAGTTGAAAATTTACCTTATTCAAATAACTCATGATAGGATTCTCGCATCTTTCTTTCCAACTCCCAAGTCATGCTTTCTTCGGCAGCTCCTAGCCAGACTACTTTCATCAAAACAATCTCTTTGCCTCTCAGAGTCTTCATTTCACGATCCGCGATTCGTATAGGCATCATCTCCACTGTAAGATTATCTCGTACTTGCACATCATCCATATGAATCACATGAGATGGATCTGAAATATACTTCCGGAGTTGAGACACGTGAAACACATCATGCAAATTCGAGAGATTAGGCGATAATGCCACTCTATAAGCAACATTTCCAACTCTGTCCAAAATTTGATACGGACCAATAAAACGAGGAGTGATCTTCTTAGACTTCAATGCTTGCCCAACACCAGTCACAAGTGTAACTCTCAGAAATACATGGTCACCTGCTTGAAATTCAAAATATTTCCTTCATTTGTCATGATAACTCTTTTGTCTATTTTGAAAGCTTTCATATTTTCTCGAATCAACTTCACCTTCTCAATAGTCTCACGAATAAGTTCAGGTCCAAGCACTACACTTTCTCCAGATTCATGCCAACATAAAGGAGTCCTACATCTCCGACCATACAAAACTTCAAAAGATGCAATTCCAATACTAGAATGGTAACTGATATTATAAGTAAACTCTATTAACAGAAGATAAGTATCCCACGAACCTTCATGTTTAAGAACTCATGCTCTCAAAAAATCTTTTAACGACTAAATAGTTTGTTCAGTATGACCATCCGTATGAGGATGGTACGCTAAACTCAACCTCAACTTAGAATCCAACGACTCTTGCAAACTCTTCCAAAAATATGAAGTGAAACTCATATCTCTATCCGAAACAATACACAAAGGAACACCATGTAGCTTCACAATTACACTAGTATAAATCTCCGCCAACTTTGATACTGGAAAATTGATGTTAATAGGAATAAAATGAGCCGACTTCCTAAGCCTATCAATAATCACCTAAATTGAATCATATCCCCTTAAAGTATTAAGTAGTCCCGTCATAAAGTCTATCGAAATACTATCCCATTTCCATTCTAGAACTTCTAACGGTTGCATCAACCCTGCAAGATTCTCATGTACAACTTTTGACTTCTGACAAATCAAACATGCATACACAAACCGAGTCATGTCGCTCTTCATTCCAGGCCACCAAAATAAATTCTTCAAATCCTAATACATCTTTGTAGCTCCCGGATGAATACTCAACTTGCTTCTATGACTTTCCAAGAGAATCACCTTCTTCATCTCCGCATCATCAGGAATACAAATTCGATTACGGAATCTCAACACACCTTGTGTATCTAACTTAAAAGCACTATTCTCAGACTGATCGATCCTAACCATCAAATCTACCAGTTTCACGTCTAACTTCTGAGCTTCTCTGATACCATCTAGAAAATCATTATTAATCTTCAACATTCCCGACATAACACTATGCGGTGTCACCTCACAAACTAAGCTCATATCTCTGAACTGTTCAATCAATTCCAACTCTTTAACCATCATTGCTGACATATGTAAAGTCTTTAGGCTTAACGCATCAGCTACCACATTTGCTTTTCCTGGATGATAATTCAAACTAAAATTGTAATCCTTTAACTCCAACCATCTCCGTTGTCTCATATTCAATTCTTTTTGGTCAAATAAATACTTTAAACTCTTATGGTCGCTAAATACTTCAAATCTAGAACCATAAAGTTAATGCCTCCAAATTTTCAACATAAAAACAACTGCAGCAAGCTCTAAATCATGCGTAAAATAGTTCTTCTCATGATTCCTTAACTGCTTTGTCGCATAAGCAACTACCTTATCATTCTTCATAAGAAAACCTCCTAAACCCATATTGGAAGCATCACAATATACCATAAAAGGTTCTCCTGGATTAGGTAATGTCAACATCATAGCCGATGTCAATCTCTTCTTCAATTCTATAAAACTTTCTTCACACTGAACATCCCACACAAAAGCTCTACCTTTACAAGTTAACTTAGTCAACGAAAGAGCCAACTTAGAGAAACCTTCGATAAATCTTCCATAATAACCAGCTAATCCCAAAAATCTTCTAATCTCGGTACCCGACTTTAGAGTTTCCCATTGCAACACAACATCTACTTTAGATGGATCTATAATAATGCCACTACCTGATATAACATGACCAAGAAAACTAATCTCCTTTAACCAAAATTCACACTTGGACAACTTTGCATACAACTTATGCTCTTTCAAAACTTGCAATACTACTCTTAAGTGTTCTGCACGCTCTTCTTCCGATTTAGAGTAAATCAAAATGTCATCAATGAACACCACTACAAACCGGTCCAAATAAGTATGAAATATACGGTTCATGTATTCTACAAATACTCCTGGTGCATTAGTAACACCGAAAGGCATCACCAAATACTCATAATGTCCATAACGCATTCTGAAATCTATCTTCTGGATATCTTCATCCTTCACTTTAATCTGATGATAACCCGACCTCAAGTCAATCTTACTAAACCCACGAGCACCCACCAATTGATCCATCAAGTCATCTATTCTTGGA